TGTTTCCATTTTGGTTTTGAGTTTGTTTTAGCTGTGAGCCACGGGCATGGCTGCAGGGGAGTGGGTGCCCACGGAAAGCACTATGTGATGAAATGGGGTAGTGAGTGAACCCTCGCTGAAAGACGGGGCTCGAGCTTAAAAGCTGTGAACTTTCACAAAGACGGAGCTCACCGGTAGAGTGAGAGTGACCACACTGAGGAGAGATCCCCGGGTAAGACTCGGAGGCAAAAGATCTGGGCCAGAGTGAAGGACCTACAGACTCACTCAGGTCTTCTGATGGCAGCCTCCAAAACTTGCATCTTATTTTCCATCAGAGATGTGGTGGGCAAGGGCAGGTTGGTACCCTGGCAGGAGGTAGAGTATGTCACAACCCAAAGGGTGTGATTTTTGTTTTTGTGTGCTTCGGCACTGCTAAATTGTTCCCGCTAAATTACAGCTTCTTTGCACGGTGGAGTTTTCTGCTGCAAAAGAGAACCCCGGTGCAAGGAACGAGTTTCCCGCCAATTTGAAGCTTTCTTTGTGTCACAACCCAAAGGGTGTGATTTTTGTTTGTGTGTGCTTCGGCACTGCTAAATTGTCCCCGCTAAATTACAGCTTCCTTGCACGGTGGAGTTTTCTGCTGCAAAAGAGAACCCCGGTGCAAGGGAGAATTTCCCACCAATTTGAAGCTTTCTTTGCAGGGTGCATTTCTTTGTTGCAGCACAGAAATGCTCGTTGCAATTAAACCGGGCAACAGGGGTCTGACCAGCCTCTGGCCTCTCCCCGTCACTGATAGATTCCTAGACGTATCCCTCCCTGCGCGCAAAAGAACCGGACCCACAGAGCCTAGCAAACTTCGTGTGGAGCAGAAGGACCCACGGAGCCTAGCAAACTTCGTGTGAATCCTTGACCGATCTCAGAGCTCTTCTACCCAGGTTCGAGTCCTGCAGGTTTATTTTCCCGTCGCCGAAACCCATTGCGACGTACCCTCGTATTTTGTATCTTCCCGTCGCCGGAACCCTTTGCGACGTACCCTCGTGCCCTGCAGGTTCGAGTTTTGTTTTCTTTTCTGTTTGTAACCGCAACTCAAGCAAGTTTTCCAGTCTGCACCACTGCCATCTCGGTGTAAGTAAACAATCTTTAAAACTACCGCTAAGCGTTTGTGCCTAATTCCAGCTCGACGGCCTTCCCTCTCCAACCCGGCGTGCCCGGGCTGCTGGCCACAGCCTGCGTGCAGCACGAAAAAGGGCTCGGGTCGCTCCCGGCCCGCACAGAGTAAAGAGCAGGATTAGTGGGGTCCACCAAAGGGTGCCACAGCCATTGTTTGAAGATGGAGCCCATTTAAAAAAAAAAAAAGTTTTATTAAAAAGCATCAAAACTTCCTGCATGGTGCTGTACACACAGGCACAGCAGCATTTTACTAGTGTTTGCAAAAGCAGAGGCAAAAGTGAGCAGCGTGAGACCAGCACTGTCCGAGTCTGTTCACAAGCTGAGGTTGAGGTGCAGAAAAGGCAACGGAGCAAAATGTAAGAGAAGGAAACCAGGCTCCGTGTCTTCATAATCTTCATTGTTGCTGGCTGCTGAGGGAGGGATTTCCGAAGTACTTGACTGGCTGCCCTCTGCTCACGTTGAAGCCAGGTGTCAAATCCACACTGCCTGCAGTGCAAGCAGGGCTAAGCCAATACGGTCCCTTTTGAGAGTCCGGCCACCAACATAGAAAAAAGACGGCTGAAGAGCCAGGATTTTTTCTTCCGCCTGTAGTTGGTGGGATGACACACAAAAGCAATGCAGTTCAGACCATTGAATTGGAGCGGTCTCAATTCCTACAGCATAGCAAGAGCAGAATTCCCTTTGTCTTCTACCCCTACAACATATATTGTCCCCAAACCATTTTCCAGGTGCATATCATATTGGAGAAAACCCAGAGAAGAGGCATAAAGGTGAGTGAGGTGGGAGAGATTGATTTTTAAGGAAACTTGCTGCATTAAACACATGCATCCCCATGTAATTATTAGGCAGACAAAGTTCTTCTCTTTTATTAGACCAACTGAATAGTTGGAAAAATTGTTCTTTGCAAGCTTTCAGGCACAAACTCCCTTCTTCAGGCCTAGGGAGAGTTGAATGTCACTGGCTGGACTGGGGTGGGTATTGCCTGGGAAGACATGTGCAGATCTGGGTACTGGAAAGGTGTATCCACCAGCACATCCCCAGTGTTACAGCTCAGAGAAACAGGCAGAAATGAAGCCAATGGAAAATTAGGCAGAACATGAGTAAAAACTGTTGTGAGATTATTAGCGTGTGGACTAACTAATAAAGTGGTGGATCTAGTATATGAGCCTAGACTGGACAAGACACTGGAGGCTCAGGGGGGAATCCTTCTACCCTGACCATAGGAGCAATATAATAGGTGACATTGCTAATTTCTGGAGTAAATCACACGGCTAGCTTGTAAATTCACTTCCCCATCTGATTCTGCACAAAGATTTATTTTTTTTTAAGGAAAAACCAGAATATTGGGCTTCCATAGTGCTGAACCTCTACATTGTGATTCAATGGGTGCCTTCTCTCTCTTTCTCCCATCTGCAGGAAAGAAAAACTGCCCCCGTTCAAAGGTGCTGCCCAGCGCGGTCCCGGGAATAACCACGCAGGCAGCAAGCTGGAGAAGAGAAGCCAGACCAGTCTCAAGGATGATTCCCACTCCTCGTAAAAGCTGAGAGAGGAAGACTTTTCGTCCGGCCGAGGAAAAGGAGTTGGCTCAGCTCCCCTGGGGTTTGAGCTGATAAGATTTCTCTTTGTTTCTCCCCAGACAAGTATTTCTAAAATAACAAATAGTCTGGAGGGGAGGGGGGAAATTAGCTAGAAATTTTACTATCGATTTTCTTTTTACTGATGGCAAATCAATTCCAGCCCTTTTTGCTCATCTCTGGAAAAAAGAGAACGGATAGATTAAAAAAGAAATCATTTTTTTTGCGGCCAAGAAAGCCGTTAGTTAACAGAAAAAAGGGGGGGGGGAGGGGAGACCATAAAAACCCTTTTGCTCTCCTTAAAGGGGCCATCCATCGACAGAGCAAACAGTTCAAAATTCCTTGATACGCTGTGCGCTTCCTCCCATGTTAGTGGCAAATTCTCACGTCTTTATGCCGGTTGCATGTGCTGTTCCAGTTATCTCGCTTTTTGTGTTTGCAGGTTATGACTTATGGGCAGAGGGCAGGGATGGGCTTATGTGCTCCTCCATGGGTCTGTGTTCATTTCTTGCCTGGTTAGAGCTTTCCATGAGCTCCCTTAAGGAGCTGTTATACAGATAATTATTCAGAGAGACAGACGCATGCCTGTGTGACTGCCATCGCCCATACAGCTAGCGTAGCTGTTACAAGCTCTTGTTTTTGTGCCTCCACAAGACTGCAGCAAGCGTGCCCTCGCTTGCAGTTCATGCAAGACCTGCATGCCAGGCTTAGACCCCTCCAGGTTGGTGCCCAGCAAGGCCGGGCTCTTGCCTAGTCCTGCCTGCAGGTCAGTAGGCGGCATGGGTTGGCTTCCCACTTGTGTCTCCTTAAAGGCTTCCCACAAGGGGCTCCCACTTGTGTCTCCTTAAATCCCTGCCTCCTCCTCTTAACACTCCCTTGGCAAAGCCAGGTGAGACTCAGCTTCTGGGGCAGGTTTCACCGGGGATGCTATCTGCCATGGGCAGCCTCCTCCCTGGCTTACAGAACCAATGCAACGTTCAACCCACGTTCCTAGTGAAACTGGAGTTCAAACACGAGGGAAAGACCTGATCTACCAGGCCGCTTAACTTTACTGTTCCCTTGTGTGATTGCTTCTTGCTTGACCCAAACCACCCAACCTCTCCAGCACCGGAGAGGATGGGACCTGATTTGCAGCTGCTGATCTTGGCCAGGCCAATTGTCAGACGTGGTTGTAGGCAAAATTTAAAGAGACCTTGGTTATATTTACACAGGTAGCAGCCAGGAATCTAGAAGTGGACCCTGTGTTTTGCTTCCTCTTTGCCGACTTGCCCTCCAGCCCATTGGGAGGCATAGAGGTAGTGTAGACAGCTCTATGCAACCTGAGGATTTCCATCTTGGAGGGAGAGGCCTTGGCTGCCCCCTGAGAGCAGCTTTCCACTTGCTTTGCGCTGATGAGCAAACACAGTGGCAGCTGAGGATCGGCCTTGCAATCCCACGGCTCCAGTTCAGTGCCCACCGATGTGTATTTTGCTGTGTCTGGAGATACAGAGGGATTGACTGTGAACCTGTTGTGCCATCGCTTAAAGCTAGGCAGTCTCCCAAAGCAATAGGAGTCTGTGGGAACAAGCAAGGGGCAGAACTTGGCCCTGCCTGTCTCTCACAATGGACCAAATGCCAAGAAAGCAACAAATACTCTTTGACAACATCTGTGTGTTTACAGTCTATCAACCTGATTCTTTCTTTCTTCCTTTTTTTTTTTCCATCTCTGGGAAGGGGTGAAATGGGAGAAGAAGAAACAAGCTGAAAACAGGCAAGGGTGACCCAGGGGAAGGAAAATGATAAAAACAAACTCAATATTGTCAGCATTTCAAGGTTATGGGGTTAAACTGTGTGCATTTTTAAGAAGAGAAAAGTGCCTTAATATGATGAATACCAATGCACCGAAAAGGCACAGTGCTGGCTTCCTGTCTCTATAAGCAGAGTAATGAATAGCGGTGACAGCATGATAATTAAAATGACCTCTTGGAGATATGGATTAGAAGGCATGCAGAAGGGGGATAGCTTGTCCTTTGAATTAATCTAATGTTAATTTATGACTGTAGTTGGGTTTTATAAGGTTTTAGTGGAAGATTTTCAAAGTTGGTTTATTTGGGGGGAGAAAATGTTCCTTTTGAATATTGATTGAAAGAAAACACTTGCAGAACTCTGTTATTTCTTTGCAAACAGTTTCTTGTAATTGCAGAGTTTGCAGGTCGTCTTCTACTCGGTAGAGGATCTGTCTACTCTAGGAAGACTGAATAAAGTGTTTCAATGTGGAAATGGTGTGTTTCTCCTCGTTTTCATTGTCTATCTTGCAGTATTGATCAGCATCCTTGGTGTTAGCTGGAAGTGGGAGGCTCTGGAAGGCCATCTTACTGCGCTGTGGGCAGTTCTCCGAGGTTCCCTTGACTTGGCCTCTGTATTTGGATGTGCTGGATTTACATCAAAATGGTATTGCCATGGAGGTGAACCTCTCCATTCCTGGCTTGCCTCCCTTCATACAAACTTGCAGCTCAGCCTGTTCTTGCAACATCTCCTCCTGGACACATCAATGTGATCTTAAACCTAACTGGACTATTCATGTATTTCTCCTAAGTCCTCTTCACTTTCCCATGAGCTCTGTCACACCTGGCCCCTGGTCAGGACACCTGGGGGGATATGAAATCTCACTGAAATAAGGTGCTTCATTCGAGCCAAATCATTTTACCAGGACATGGTGGATCTGATGCAGCTTTCGAGGCAGAGATACTCATACTCTGTAGCCTGCTGATTAAGGCACTGCCTTGACATGAGGTTGTTGGGTGTTTCAGGTTCAAATCTGATCATATTGAGTCAGAGTCAGCCTGGGATGGCAAACTGCTTTGAACCCGGTAGATCAGACTTGAACTTGAGTCTTCCAAGCCCCAGACCAAAGCTGTAGTCATAAAAGGACAGACAGATACATATTCTTGTTAAAACTCAGATTTTTGTCACTGAAAAGGGATATTTTCAAACAATTCTGGTTTTGCTGGAACGTTTGAAAGGTGCTTGCATTTTTTTCCAATGCAGGAAAAAAAAACAACCCAGTTGTCAAGACCTTAGGCATTGCAATGAAATGGAATTGTTGCCCACTTTCCTTGCAGACCTGCAAGCTGGTGACAATTTTCAGCTCCTTCTGGACTCTTTTCCCTCTGTCCAGGCTGCATCCAAATCCTGATGCTGCTTTCTCCATCATGCTTCCAAGATCCAGACTCTTCTTTTTGCTTTGCAGATGGCTAAAACTCTTGGTGGGTCAGAGAGGACAAGGAGCAGGACACGACCAGGAGTGGGGGTGATAACAGCCCATTAGTAATCATCCATCCCTGCAACCTCCTTCCCATTTCCTCGACCCTCCTTGCAGTCCTATGAAGTCTATACGAATACAGTCACTGCATAAAATCACCTTCTTTTACTATCACTCAGAGAACATCAGCCTCGCTTTGAAGGTCTCCCTTGCTCCCTCACATCAAGTCCATGGGTTCAGGGCTGATGGGGACAATGGACACTTTATGCTTCATATTCATCAGAAGTGAAAAAAATGTGTGTGTGTGTGCATAGGTAGACAGATAGATGTAGATCTGTGGTCTATAGATCTACATCTATCTCTCTATCTATACATAGATATAGGCAGACACAACAGACAGCTGTGGTTCAGTTTGAGGCACTTTAAAATGGGATATGAACATCTATCTATCTATCTATCTATCTAAATAGATGGGATTAAAAATCTAGATTTAAAATGGGATATGAACAGCCATATATCTATCTATCTACATAGTAGATATGTAGATAGATAAATATATGGCTGTTCATATCCCATTTTAAAGTGCCTCAGACTGAACCACAGCTGTGTCTGTTGTGTCTGCCTGTATTTATACCAGTATATATGGAGCTAAAGTATTACACCTTATATGTGTTTCATGCAGGTTATACTGGTAATAGCTACACTCATCCTGGCATAGGAGTGGACAGAAGGAAACGGTTACTACAGCTCCTTGTGACCCATGGTAAATTGGTATAATTGAAAACTGTAATTTTTTCATCCATCCACAGCCTGTAGTATATGGATTTGACCAGATCAATTCTCCCCATCCTTCCCTTTCGTATGTGCTGCCAGTGTGTTTAATTGCAATACCTTCATGACGAGGAGCGTGACTTCATGCTCATTTTTACAGTACAGCGGGGCTTCCTCCTACTTGAAGGTCTGGGCAGTACATTGGAAATGCTAAATAATGACTGCACTTGGGAGTGATGGCTTCCCAGTTATTAATTCTGTTTCAACCTCCAATGTAGGTAAGTCCTTCCACCTCTTGTGGGCCTTGCTGTAACCTGGGGATAGAAATAATTACTTAGGACCCAGCTCTACAACTCTCCCCTTCAGTCATAATTAAGTCTGCCTGCGTTCCCATCTGGAGTACGGTACAACATGACTAAGGGTGGAACAGTTGGGCAGTTAATCTTTGTCCAATATAAAGTGCTAAATAATAATATTGTATTAAATCAAATTGGTCCTGGAGTCCTGCAGGGTCAACTGTTTTGGAAGGTCTTTCTGCTAAAGTACATCTGGTTATTTCATGTCTGTGGTCGAGTATGTCTATGATGGGATGGAGATGGATGTAGGAATACGTGGAAGAACCCCCCCTCAATCTATGTAGTCACAGCAGGCAGGGATTACGTACCTCTTTCCTTGTCCTGTTCTATATGGTCAGCTTTGTTGGAAGGGAAAAGAGTTTAAAACATGTTAATTATGCAGGAAAGGGTGAGTTTTTAAGAGAATGTCTCTTAAAAAGTATATGGATTAAGGGGACATATACTTGTAAGGGGCAATATCCATAGAGGACAATGCAACACAGAATATGTGAAGAGGAGGTTATTTACAGTGACAGAAAAAGATGGGGACGAGCTTTCAGGTAGTGCCTATTATAGCAGGCATCAAATATTTATAATATCTTCTGTCGCAGTCTGGCATGTTTCTGCAGTTAACATAAGCAAAGTGGTTATCGTATGACTAATTGGTCAAGGCTCAGACTAACGAATGGGAGAAACGTCTCTCCCCCCCCCCCTTTTTTTTTCCTTTCTTTTTTAATAACAAGAGGAATAAAGACAGAAATGGTGAGTTTAAAAAATCTGCAAACTCAGGTCTAAGCAAACACAACTCCCCCTGCCAAGGAAAACTATTCAAACCCATTTTGTCAAGGTTGTTGGTGGTAGCCGTGTTGGTCTAAGGACATGGGCAGACAAGGTTCTTTGAGTAAATGCAATATCTTTTATTAGAGCAACTAAATAGTTGGAAAAAATGTTCTTTGCAAGCTTTCAGGTACAGACACCCTTCTTCGGGCATTAGAGAGAGTCTGCTGTTGGTTTGGGTGCTCTTCTAGGTCGATCAGAAGCCAATCTACCCAAACCAACAGCAGGCTCTCTCCAGTGCCTGAAGAAGGGTGTGCGTGCCCGAAAGCTTGCAAAGAACAAGTTTTCCAACCTGTTTTGTGGTATCCTAAGTGGTGTCTACAAAATGTATATAAAACAAATAGGCAGAAATACCCCTTTGCATCTCATTGATTTGATTAATGGAGGCCACTCTTAAATACATCATCCTGATTTTAGTATACTTTTGTAAAGAAGTCAAAGTTTCTCAAGGGCCAGAGATTTTTGTCTTTGGATGCTTAGAGGGAACAGGAGCTGCACAGTGGAGGATAGCAAGTGCCCTTTTATAAAACTAAGGTCTTCCTCCTTAGGGATAAAAGCCAGGGGAATTGTGCATGTAAAATACACAAATATATAAACGTATTTGTAAGTAGAGAGACTGAGGGAAGCAAGAGTGGGTGAATGGATGGCTTTGGTATGGTAATCTCACCTGCAAGGCTCAACCCTGCATTGGATGTGTGCCAAAATGCATCAATTGATGGGCCTGGGAGACATGGTGCCCCATCAGGTATGTCGCAACGTAGCATCCAGAGGGATTTGCCCGTGTTAAAGCTGAGGCAGTGTATATATTCCCTTCCATGGCAACCATCTCTCCTACGAGGTCCAGAAGGAACTGAACCCTTCACAGCCCGTTGGGGAGAACAGGGTTAATATAGGAGCTGGAGTCATATAGCCCTTCCACTTCTTGAGTCCTGTTCCCCCACCACGGTCACCATCTGGGCACATTGGGCCTTTAAAGCCCAATGAAAGATCCCTGTTGACTGCAGTTAGCTTCAAATCGGGCTCAGAAATAGGACAATACAAGAAGCATGATACCTAGAAAGAATACTTATCCCGCATGCCTATACAACAGCGTTCTTGGGTCATACCAGGCTCACGGCAGGTAAGGTGCTTTTCTTTTAAGGCTTTAAATTCCCAACAAAGGACAGCGTAGCCGATTTTGAACCATATATTACTATAACAGATAAATACGCCTTTTATTTTGGGGTGTCCTGAGATTCCTCCCTTCTGGGGGAGAGGAGATGCAGTTTCATTCACCCCCAATATTTTCTCTCGGATCTGGGGGGCAATGCACCTCTCCGAAGACTACCAGTGAATTATCTCGCCCTACCTGGAAGCGACTTCATGAATATTAAAATGATGAAATTAACTTGTTTTCTGAGCATTCTGCTCTCCCGTCAAGAAAATCCTGCCACAAACCTCCACGCAGGCAGTCTAACTCTGTTGAACTGGACCCTCACTGTGAAGGGATTATATATTCTGATTGGGGCTGCATTTGCAATTATTTTCTCTGCCACACCAAAGACCTTTACTGCAGAGCTGCAAACCAGTTATAGGAACATGAAATGCTTTGACTTCTTCACTAGGGAAACATTAATCCAATCACAGGTTATGTCCATTACAGACTATGGCAATATTGTATACAGGAATTCCCGGGAGAAGGTTCTACAAAAATTGGAATCTCTCTATAACCATGTTATGAGATTTACTGGTGTGGATAAAATGGGCAGAGGTAAAATTACCAGGCTGGCTATCTCTAAAAGACAGGTGAAGTCTGCTGGCTATCATTGCTTCATAATATTACAAATGGAAAAGCCCTGAAGTAATTGAATAACACATCTGCTAGAGAAAAAAAAAATGCTGTGAACTGTTATAACCTAAAGATAGACTGGAAGGAAACAATATATATACAGCAGCAAGTTAAAAGGAAAAAAGATGCTTTCCTTACCTGGCATTAGGAGATATCGCAAACACATAGGCTGCTGGGCTTTGTCATTGCATCCATGTGCATATATGTGTGTGTGTGTG